TTTTATTTGACAGAGAGAGACACAGCGAGAGAGGGAACACAAGCCGGGGGAGTGGGAGAGGGAGAAGCAGGCTTCCCGCTGAGCAGGGAGCCTGATGCGGGGCTCCATCCCAGGACCCTGGGATCATGACCTGAGCTGAAGGCAGACGCTTAACGACTGAGCCACCCAGGCGCCCCGTTACTGTGACTTTTATTATCGTTCTGAGAGTCTGTGCTGGAGATGTCAACGGCCAGTGCTCAGTTTGGCTAGCTCACTGAGTGTGAGTCTTTGGGCAGTCATGGAGCTGGTCACTAAGTCTAGAAGCTTCCATAGACAGGAGTGGTTTGGGCTGGGCTGGCGGCTTAGGAATTATTCAGAAAACATGTTAAAATGCCATTCCTGCTGCCTGCCCAGTGGCCTGGACAGGGCCTTGGGGTTATGTTTGACCACAGATGGGGGTTTCTGAAGGGTAGCCACCCAGCTGGAGAACTCCTAAACTGGGTCAGACCCTCATTTCACTGATGGGGAAGCCAAGACCTGCAGAGGGACATGGCCTTGCCCAAATCACTGCAGCTTTTGGCAAAAGGACAGTAACATTCCAAACCATCCACAGATGGCCCCTCTGGAGCCCCACATCCTCCCTGTGCATTAGCTGGGGCAGCAGGGTATGCTGTCTCCTCTCCTGGCCAGGAAGCGGGGCTCAGAGAAGTGACTAAGGAAGGTCACAAGGTTGGCTCAAGATCAACGCAGCCAAAGCCAAAGACGTAAAATGCATTAGTGAATAAGAATATGTTAGAAAGAGAAACCAGTCTATGGACAGGTGGGGAGCCCTGGCTATCTGAACCTTTGTTATCCACACTCTTGTTTCCCAAACACAGAATAAAATAAATGAAGATAAATGTGTTGACATATGCTTGCTATCTAAATCCAGTTGCTTTTTACACAAATCTCTGAAACCAAATGGATTTAGAGCAGAGGAAGACCCGTATTCTTACTGTGGATGAGAATATACTTAATGCTACTCAGCTGTGCCTTCCCACGCCCCACTAACCTCCACCCACAACAGCAGGGAACGAAGAAAACAGAGGAAAGTTCTTCGAAGTTCACTTATGCAGACAAAATGAACAACAACACAGAAATCTGTAAAAGCTGTTAAAAATCATTCTTTTCTGGACAGAATTCTGTACATTTTCCAAAGATAGAGAAGTAAGATAAATTCAGCAAATTATTTTTCTGTATGATTTGGCTTTCAGCAATTTGACCTCCAGTGTGCCGACTTTTGATGAATTAACTTTCAGTAAATTGTTTTGCTTCCTGCATGGCCAACAGGTGGAGGCGTGGACATGGGAAGTTAGTGTCATATGTTGAGATCATCTAAATGATCAGGTCTTTGACATTTCCCTATATCTGCCTTTACCATTACAGCTTGTCTTGTTATCAAACATTCTTCCAATTATCCCAGTTTGAGTGTGCCATATGCCCCCAGTAGGACCCTGACCTCTGTTACTTAAGGTCAGATCCCTTGTGGACAGATTGTGTGTATGTGTATGTGTGTTTCACCATTGTATCTCCAGGCCTGGAAGGATGCCTGCTCCGAAGTATGCCCTCGCTATTTGTGAAATGGGTGAATGAATGAATGATATCTCTATCTCTATCTACCTACCTATCTACCTACCTATCTATCCATCTATATTTCTCTCCGAGAGTCCATAATTGTCTTTCCAGATTAAATCAACATGATAGATAGGGGAGCCCTTTTTCCAGCCACTAGGCACTCCGTACGTCCCATCAGGGTGGCTCTGGCCTTCTGGAGCATTTAGAGCAGAATGACCTAAAAGCAGTGACCATACTCCATGTTTTGGGGTAGACAGTGGTGTGTCTGTCCTCCCCACCAGCATGGGAACCTCCCTTGGAAGGTTTCACTTGGTACCACGCACAGAGCCTCCACGTCATAAGATCTTTCACACTGTAACTGAAATGCTTTGGTGGCATCTCCTTTCCCTCAAAGATAAAGCTCTTTTATGGTGCCTCATTTATTAGCTGTCACGGCCACTGCCTCGGGGTTATGCACACAGATAAAATATGTAGCCGGATACTGCCTGCCCAGTTTCTCTTCCCCTTCACCTAATTTCAACTCCCTGTCAAGCCGCCTTGAATTGATTGGCTCATCACAGAAGCTGCCTCAGGCAAACTCCTGGTTTCTTTCCTGGGAGGATGATCCTTTCCACTTAATTCTGGAAGGGCAGCCTCAAACAGGGAGTCTCTCAGTCCCTTATCTATCAGCATTTCCGAGCCACACTTTCCCAGGATGCCTCCTCCTGGGATCTGCTCCTGTCCAGTTAAGATGATCTCCCAACCCAAGTGGCAGCCTCCCTTAGGTAATTTCCCTGGGGCTTAAGCTGTGCATTGTCAATGTGAGCTGAAGAGAAGTTTCTAGAGCCTGGCCGATCTTACCACGGGTGAGGCTTGGCAGCTGGGTGACCATGGTGGGGCTTAGGGAGCAGAGGGTAAGGGGCCCCACTGATCTGGGATTAGGGAAGGTAGGTGGACCTCCCTTTAGGGAGGCTCCCAGATGCTAGGGAGAGCTTAGAATCTAAACTGCCAGAAACTCAGCAGGCTCTGTGATCAGAAGAAAACCGTGTTTGCCCACAATGGGAGTCAAATCAACAACAAATCTAACACACCTGTGGGGTTCCAAGCGTGCAGCCAGATTTCAGGACCCCGGGCTATAGCCGAAACTACGAGTCGGAAGCTTAACCGACTGCGCCACCTAGGTGCCCCAAACTTTCTCTTTTAAAATTTACAAGAGGGGGTGCCTGGGTGGCTCAGTTGGTTAAGCGACTGCCTTCGGCTCAGGTCATGATCCTGGAGTCCTGGGATCGAGTCCCGCATCGGGCTCCCTGCTCAGCAGGGAGTCTGCTTCTCCCTCCGACCCTCCCCACTCTCATGTGCTCTCTCTCTCTCATTCTCTCTCTCAAATAAATAAAATCTTTAAAAAAAAATAAAGAAAATTTACAAGAGGGCGCCTGGGTGGCTCAGTCATTAAGCGTCTGCCTTCAGCTCAGGTCATGGTCCCAGGGTCCTGGGATCGAGCCCCGCATCGGGCTCCCTGCTCCGCGGGAAGCCTGCTTCTCCCTCTCCCACTCCCCCTGCTTGTGTTCTCTCTCTCACTGTCTCTCTCTCTGTCAAATAAATAAATAAAATCTTTAAATAAGAAAAAATAAAATTTACAAGAAAAATAATTCTTTGCTCATAGGTCATACGAAATAAGCTATGGGCCACATTTGGCCCACATGCCATAGTTTGCTGACCCCGGACGATAGAACTGTCAGTTTTGTGAGGTAGTGAGTTCCCCATTGATTGAAGCACTCAAGTGGTGGATTTCTGGCAGGAATGCACATCGTCTAGGGCTGTGCTTGCACACCCACTGCAGAGGCGCGTAGTTGTGACAGAGGCTGTGTGGACTGTAAAAATATTTATATCTGGACCTTTACAGAAAAAGTTTGCCAATCCCTGCATTAAATAAATGAGTATATACAGGAAACATGAGCCAGTGAAGGTGTGACGAAGCAAGTAAACCAGGATGATGTGTGTGGCTGTGTGTGTGTACATGTATCTGCATGTGGGTGTGCACATGCGCATACTTGTGTGTGTGTATGCCTGTGGGTGCTGATTTTAGATGAAGAGGCCAGGAGAGGACTCACCGGGCCTGACGTCTCAAGGGGGATTTGCACACCAGCCCGTAAGCCCTGTCCTTCTGGTCCACACCCCAGTGTTCAGAGGCCTCGCCTGGGGCCTCTGGCTGCTCCCCCTGCAGGGGTGCCCACATGAATGCTGCCCATAGAAGGGGTGATGGGGGGCCCCGTAGGACTGAACACATTTACATGTGCCCTTGTCGGTCCTCTGGTCAATTCGCTGCCCCACCTGCAGGGAGCCTCTGTCTTCCTCAGCCCTCTGATCCCCATCACAACACGCCGTGGGTATGTGTTCGTGTGTGTGTGTGCACACACGTGTGCATGTCTAACGCCCTTCCCCCTCGTTCCGCAGCCCATTCTGTCATCCCACCGTAACAGCCTGCTGTCCGGAATCGGGGACAGATGCTGTTCATTCGTCATGGATGGGACAGGACATGGAACGTGATGGCCCACGAAAAGCAGCAACACAAAGGGAGAAACAGAAATTCCATTCTATGTGTTCTGATAGGAACGTAGTGTTGTTTTCCTCAACATAGAAACCACAATAACCCCAGCCGCACCTGCCAGACAGATGTGCTCAGTTCCAGCTGAGGGGGACCTCTGTCTGGTGGGACCCCCGAGGACACAGACACAGAGCCAGGGAGTGGCAGGGCCATTTTATAGATAGGGAAACTGAGGCCCAAGGAGAGGAGAGGACTTTCCCACTAGGGAAATGGCAGAGCTGGGGCTGGAAGTGAGTCCTGGGGAAAGTGAGGCTCAGAAAACTCCAGACTCCACCCTCATGCAGCTATAGTATAAGGTGGTGGTGATCAGGGCCCTGGGAGTCAGGTGACTGCACCACAGCTCACTCGGCACCTTCTCTGGAGCTGTCACGAGCCTTAAATGACTTAATGCGGATCAAGTGCTTGGCTACATCGAACAAATACCCAGTGATCAATAAATCTCAGACATTACTATTATCATTATCATTATTATCATAAACATCTTCCACGCTAAACGGTCACTTCTCTGTGAGCACAGACTGTAACTTGAGTACCTCCCATTCATCCCAAGCTAGTGCATCTGGCTCAGCGCTCTCGTACCTGTTAATCGTAGCTGTGATGTTGTTCTATGTTGTCAGCTCCCCAACTCTGGGTGCGCCTGTTACCTGTTACCTACCGTACGTGGGATGGAACTGAAGGCCACCACTGCATTTAAACAGGCAGGGGACTCTCTCTCCCCCTCCACTCCCAGTCAGGCCTTGCCCCTCCCGGGCCTCAAGCTCCCATGTGTATGACGAGAACACCCCAGCTCAGTGGTGCCGGTGAGGAAGGAGGCGTGCCTTACCTGGACCGCTGCAGAATGAGGCAATGATGGCCAGGATGCACACGATACTCAGGTATGGGATCCAGGGGGCGTGGTCCTGCAAGAGAGCAGGGGTGTGGGCAGGGGAGGAGGCAGCGGGGCAGAGAGGACTTGGGTTCTCACCCCAGCTCCTCCTTGATCCATCTGCATGACCTGGGGCAGGTCACTTCACATCTCTGAGCCCTGGTTTCAGTGTCCATAAAATGGGGATAATGATAACCCCCGAGCCATTCCATCCACCTGTTTTGCAGATTGAGATAAAAAGAGATGATGCCTCCCAAGAGTTTAGCAGTGTCCTCAGCATACAGCAGGTGGTAAATAAATGAGTAACTAATACTGGTTGAGTGCTTAGTCTGAGGCAGGCAATATGAGAAGTTTTACAGGCACTCGCACATTTAAAAAATTTTCTTAGTTAATCCCTCTCGTTGTGTAAAACACTACATTTCTACCCCTGCTCTCCTGACAGGTATGAGATAAGTTAACTGGTGTCACTAAATATGTTTGGGGGAGGGGCTGTCACTTGTCTGGCAGGGTCGGGGTGGCTCGATGCTGGGCACGGAAAGATGTCCAAGCAGACTGGATGTCTGATCATTAGCACATGGCGTCACCAGTGATGGGACATTGTGAGCATGTTTGGAGGTGCTGGAGCACCTGAGCCCAATCTAGAGAGATTCAGAAAGGGGAGGAGACTGTGTTCACCTTTGAAGGCTAAGCCAGGGTCACACAAGAGCAAAAGGAGAGGAAAAAAAGTTCCAGGAGAGGGTTCTACATGAGCAAGGGCACCAATGGAACAGGCAAGAACAGCTCAGGGGTGAGCAGCACGTGTTCAGAGTGGAGGGTGATGGGTTGAGAGGGGCGGACAGCAGCCCTTCCATGTTCAAGTCCATTGGCTCTTGCTGAAGGAGGATCTAGGATTGAGGGGAGTGTTGTGGGCTCTTGTACACTGCATGGCTCATTGTTGCCCTAAGTCATCCATCCATCCATGCATCCATCCATCGTTCATCCATCCTACACATTGATCCATCCATTATACATCTATCCATCCATCATCTATTCATACATTCACCCATCCACCCATCACCCATCCTCTATCCATCCATCCATCCACCCACCCACCCATTATCCATCCATCCATCCAGCCAGCCAGACAGCCAGCCAGCCATCCATTTGTTCATTTGGCAGATTGTTCTTAGTTCCTCCTGGGTGCCATGCACTGGGCTGGGAGGTGGGAATACAGAAATGATACAGGCATGGCCCTTGCTCCCACAACTCTATCAGAAAAGAGAGATGAGTCAACAGGGAAAGCCAATCCTGTGTGATAAGTGATACTGCAGGGTTGCCCCTGGGGTCCCTGGGAACACAGAGGAGGGTGCCTCACTGACACATGGGGTTAGGGAAGGCTTCCTGGAGAAAGAGGTATCTAAGAGATGTGCAGAACTTCCTGAATTTGGAAAGCAAGAGAAGCCAGTTGAGCAGAGGAGGCCCCCAGGGAGAGGAAAGGGCAGGCTCTTTGGAGGCTGCCAGGCAACAGGGCTGGGGAGTGGGGAAGGGGGGACAGAGGCAGAGGAGGGCAGCCAAGCAGGGAAGAGCTCTGAGACCCTGTGAAGTGAGGCCTAGGGGGGCCCACTTGCTCCAGGCCGCCCTTCCAAACATCTGCCACAGCTACAAAAAGACAACGTGCCAGGACATCACCTAACTGTGAGGGACCCAGCTCGGTCCATCTGAGGGGCCTGCAAGGGCACCCTGTGCAGGTCAACCCTGGTCTGGCAGTCGGGCAGGAGGGGTCACTGCCAGCACATCACCCCCAAGACAGATGCTTCTGCCTCCTACCTCCTGCCTGGTCAGCAGCCCCAGCAGCACTTCCTTTCTGGACGACAAGCTGCTGTCCATCAGGTACCACCAGGTTAATACTGCCTTTTTCTAGAGGTTTTTGGGACCTTAAGACATTCAGCAAATGATCAACACGTGCAACTTTCCACTCAGGGATTCATTTTTGAAAAGTGCCAAGATTTGTTGGCCACCGTGACCTTGCCTCATGCTTCCCTTGGTGCTGAGCCAGACTCGAGGCACCGAGAAAGGGCTCCGTCACTGCAGGTTGTCCTGAGCAGTGCAGCGGGTAGGAGGAAACCCCAAGACCCTGGAATCTCATCCCAGCTCCGCCATTTACTAGCTGTGGAACCCTGAGCAGCTTCTTCATGTATATTTATGCCTCCGTTTCCTGTCTCCATAAAAGGGAAAAATACTTTCACCAGTGATATTTCCCCAAACCTACATTCCCCGAGCACTTGTCATGTTCGGGTGCCCTTCCAGGTACTGTATGTACAGTTTCTCATTTAATCCTCCTAAGACCCCTGGGTACGGGGACAACTGTCCCATTTTAGAGATGAGGCCCTTAGGAGCAGAGCCCCTGCTGGAACCCACCCCCAGAGCCCCAGAGCTGGAAGCCAGCTCCATGCTGACCTCCCTCGGGGCATGACAGACACACCCCCTCACCTGCAGTGTCAGCGTGATGGTGAGGATCCCAAAGAAGAGGGCCATCAGCCCAAAGCCGCCCATGAGGAGGGGTCTCCGTCCTAGGCGCTCGATGACCAAGCCCTAGGTCAGGGTGAAAGAGAGACTGTTATTACTTCACTTCCAGCAGCAGGAGAAGGGGAGCGTGGAACCAGCACTGCGGTCATGGTTAAAGGACGGATTTGACCTTCAGGTAGCCCAGACACTTTCTCCATGGCCACAGCCAGAGCAGCAAAGGTCTTTATGAGAAAGGGAGGGAGAAGAAAGTCACCATCCTTGAGCACCTGCTGTGTGTCCATACACTCACCTTTCCTTTCAATCTTCCTCGTTAGGGAAGGGTGGGCTTATCTGCTAAAGGAACTCAATGGACATGGTTGCTGTAGCCCTTCGCCCACTCTTTGGAGCCAGCCTGCCATGGAAAGCAAGGGCACTGTCTCCTTATACCCCTGTGCTGTCGATTCTATGGGGCAGCCTCCCAAGGCAGGGGCCCAGGGGTGGGAGTGGGCAGAGAAGGTTCTGACGTTTTCCACTCTGCCTGTGCCTGGGTGGGTCAATTTCATTTTGGCGTATGATACCAGGAAGCTCCTATGACTGCAGCTTCTGAAGCCATGTGCCCCGGCCCAGCTTCCCATCGCTGTAGGACTGTCACTGACCTCTACCCGGCTGGCCCTGTGTCTACCTCTCACTTGGGCAAAGGTGGGGCTCTTCATTGAGCTCCTTCAAATGCCAATGACCCTGAAAAATAGTGATGTAGCTAAGTTTCAGAGACAGGCAGACCTGGGTCAACCACTCTCCAGATGTGTGAGCTTTGGCAAATGACTTTCCTTCCCAGAGCCTCAGGGCCTTTATCTGTGAAAGGAGGTCCAAAATACCCTCCAACAAGGCTGTCTGGAAGGGGCGGGTGGTTCAGTATGAGACTGCTTTCAAAACACATAACAAGTCTTCTGATTATGCCAAGTACCTTCCCTCTTCTTCCCTCCCTCATCCCAGTGCACAGAAAGAAAACACCGAAGATCAGAGAGGTGAAGTAACTCAGTGGCCATCACACAGGCGGTAGAGAGAGACAGAGACAGAGATGGGTGGGGGAGGGGAGAAAACTTGAACTCACAGCATCTGCATAAAAATGCACAGCTTTTCTCCACTGGGCAATCGGGCAAGGCTTCCTGGAGGAGGCAACAGTAGTGGGAGCTTGTCAGGCAGAGGGACCAGTGGGAGCAAAGGCCCTGGTCAAATGAGTCATCCGGTTTGGATAAGGGAAGGGAGTGACACTGCTGAGGGCCACGAAGCTGGAGCAGGTGCTCCTCTTGTCTGCCAGCTTCATGTGATGGTTCAAAAGCCAGAGCATCAAACTGAATGGTCACAATCCTGCCCCAAAGCCTGACAGTCTTGCCACAGAAAACCCAGAGCCCTCCTCCTTTTCTTCTTTCCTCATGCCTGCTCTGAGGAGGGGGTGGTAAGAAGCCCTCTGAGGGAGCTCTCCTGGAGCTGGCGCTGGCCATTGTTCCAGTTGGCCAAGTGCACAGCAAGAGGTGAGCGGGCACATCTTTAGGCCAGCTGAGTGCCCGCAAGATCGGCCACAGTGTGCTGTCAGGGTACCTTGGTGTGAACGTTGAGAGGACTGGTGTGGCGGGGGCGCTCCGGCATGGAAAGTCAGGGGCTCGGGCAGAAACCATGCTTGGCTGATGGCCAGATGACTGGAAAACATCTACAGCTTCCCTCAGGAAGCCTTTTCCTCTGCGGCCTAGGAGGGCAGGGCAGACCCAAATGGCTAAACTTGGCCTCCCTTCACACCTGACCTGATAGAGCTGAGCACAGGTGGCGTCCAGAGGCACATGGACCTGAAAGAGGCAGACCTGGGTTCGAGTCCTGGCTCTGCACCCAGGATAGGTGATTTGGCTTCTGTGAGCCTCAGTTCCTCACCTGGCAAATGGAAATGGTGAGACTGTCTTTGCACTGAGTGCAGCTATGAGATCAGAGGCCAAGAACTCACAGTGTTGGAAGTAACTCATGAACAACAGAGGCTTCCAACAAATGGCAGAAGAGGTATCATTCATTCATTCATTTATTAATTTATTTGAGAGAGAGAGCATGAGTGGGAAGAGGGGTAGAGGGAGAGAATCCTCAAGGAGACCCCCAGCTGAGTACGGAGCCCAACGTGGGGCTCAATCCTAGGACCGTGAGATCATGACCTGAGCCTAAATCAAGAGTTGGATGCTTAACTGAGTGAGCCACCCAGCTGTCCCAGAATATGTATTATTCTTGCAGTTAAGGGGTGGCCTGAGTGTGTCCCAGTTCCTGCCTCTAACTAGCTGTGTGGCTTTGAGCCAGTCAGGCACCCTTCTGTGTCTTCCTTGCTCTCTTCTGATGACGATGGGTGGGGGTGAATAACGACCATTTGCCAAGCGCCTGTGTTGGGCCAGATCCTGCATTAAGCACTTATCATGCATCAATTTACTTAATCCTCATGGCAACTTTATAAAGTAGGACCAATTAATTGTCTGATTTTACAGGTAAAGAAACTGAGACACAGAGGTTTTGGGAACTTGTCCAAAGTCACGTGGCTGGTAGGAGGCAGAGTTGGGATCACCTACAGAGTCTTTTCTGGTTCTTGAGACGTTAAAATTTTCCAAACTAGAAAGAGACCAAGCCACCACTTTGTAATAGCCCCCTGTTACACTGGGATGCCCAGCACCCTGTTCCCTGACCATGTCCTCCCTTGAAGGCCAGGAGCTTCATCTTCGTTTCTCAGAACCTAGAAGAACACACGTTGAGGTGTTGCGCCAACGTGCTGGTTGGTGTTGAGCCAATGTTTGCTCATTGAGTGAAGGTTTATCTTTGTGAGGCGGGCATGACAGTTTACATATAGCAGAGGAGGACGATGAAGATGGTATAGTCACTCAGTGGGAAGCCAGGCCCAGTGAGACCCATGAAGGCAGCAAGGATCAGCAATTACTGAGAAAGTTCTAAAAAGAAAGAAGGGCCAGCATCTAAGTCATCTCTTGCCCCAACCCTCATGAGTTGGGTCCCACCAAAGGGAAGGTCCAGATAGGGTCTCTCAGGGCAAGAGCAACATGCACAGGGGAACTGGGCCCTGGGTGGGGGTGGGAGTGGGGGATGGGGAAGGTCAGGGACACCCAGGATTGGAGATTCTGGGATTTGTTAAAAGTCACATAGAGCTATTGAGAGATAAGGAAGTAGAATACATGCTCTCTCACACTGCACGGCTGGCTAAAAATATATATACACTCTTGGATTCAGTCATTTGCCTCTGGGGTATTTATCCTAAGAAAATAGACATATGGTGGAAGAGTCATGGACAAAGATCTTCAAATGTAGTGTGATTTGTACTAATGAGGAAACAGAAACCATCCAGAAGTCCACTCCCAGTTGAATTGCTTCAATAAATACTGGAATATCCAGATGATAATGACATAGGAATTCACATATTTTAAAAGAATTTTAAACAACAGAAAAATCCTCAGATTATGACTCTAAGGGAAAAGAGCAGGGCATAGAGCTGTATCTCGCATATCCTCATGGACACAGTTTGGTAAATTATAATTCTGTTGAATTAATCTACTCTGGAAATATTTATGCAAAAATAGCTTATAATGGCTAACTCTGTTTGGGGGAAATATATGATTATTCCTTTACTTGTTATTTTTCAGTCTTTTCCAAATTTTCCACAATAAGCTTTTTTTTAATTAAAAAAAAAAAGTCTAAAAGATAGACTTAGCTAAAGCATTGGAGATGCTATGCCTTGAGTCACAAATCATTACTCTTCCCCTATCCCCTGGCGATTTCTAATACCCACACATGCAAATCTTCACCATGTAAGATGTCTTTGCTACACTCTCAGGATGGCATCACCATTCCCCACAGTTGAGCTCACACTGAAGACAAAGGCTGCTCATAGCTGGAATGTGGGGCAGCTGTGAATCTTGGGTTACAGTGCCCCGTGACAGAGAGCTGAAATGACGAGAGAAATTACCATGATGAGCAACACAGTCACTGTGAGCCGCCGAGCACGTAAGTTGCGGTCCTGAGATAAACACGTGCTGCGCTGCGTTGTTACACAGAGATTAACGTGTACTTGTTACTGACTTCAGTGTTTTGAGTGTTTTTTCTTTTTTCTTTTGGTTTGTTTTGGTTTCTTCAAAGGCACCACCAACAATTTCAGTGTCAGCAAGTGTGTCCCAGATACTAACTAGTTGAGACCCACTGTCTTACATCGTGACGCCAATATTCAAGCGCTTTGAGGTAGGTGTGGGGATCTGGCTATTCCTTTTCCCTAAAGTCTCCCGATGAAACAGTAACCTGAGCCAAGGTAGAGCTGGAAACACTGTCCCTGATTCGGAAAGAGTCTCTAAAGATGTCTAGGAAGACATCAAAGAAATAGCTGTGAGAAAGAAAGAGACAAAAACAACTCTGTCCGTCCTAGTGGGAAACCCAATCAACCCGCAGGGCTCCTTTCTTTGTCTCTGCCTCTTTTAAGTTGTTTTAAAGTGCAGCCTGTCGAAAGGGATTAAACGTGGTATTTCCACTCCACATTAAAGTCATTAATGAAAACATTAACTCAAGATGAACAGTGGCCTCTGAAGGTTACTGATGTCAGTTGGAGGCGGACTGTCAGCCTCCAAGAAACCCTTTCTGGGGAATCCTGAGCCACAGGGTTATTCAGCCATTTGGCAGCCATGTACCCACCACCTCTTGTCCATCCCACAGTGCTAGGACCGCTGGTGGAATAATACAGAGAAGGTCTTTTGTCATTGTCAGTATTTAAAAATCAACTTTACTGACTTAGATTAAATTCTTAGTTAGATTCAATAAAATGTACTGATTTTAATTGTACAGTTTGGTATGTTTTAACACATTTATACACCCATAAAGCCATGACCACATCAAGATACAGAACATTTCTATCACTCCAAAGTTCCCTTGTGCCCCTTTCCCTAGCTGTAAGCAACCACTGATGTACTCTCCATTACTCTAGATTACATCAGTCTAGATTAGAAGTCCATATTGGTGATGGCTATACTTTTTTTAAAAAAAGATTTATTTATCTGTTTGAAAGAGAGAGCAAG